ATTGCCAGTCAGCACTTAAACTCCCACGGGTGTATCTAGTGTTCGCACACTGAGAAATACCCGTACACTTGCTTTCTTTATTAACCTCTTTTGTTGTTAGGCAAGGATCACTGTGATACATTATCCTTTCCTCTTATATCCTTCCGCTATCATACACCATTCCCCAACCTAAAGAATGTGGTGGTATTGCAATAACAGGTATCCTGAATTACATGCTCCTCCTTAGCCCAGAGGTGGGTTCCACAAGGCTAGTTTTAGTGCCTCTACGTTTGAGATCAGCCGGGCAGGAATTCAATCTGGTGATCTTCTGGTCTGTTGTTTTATCTCATCTTTACTTAATAAGCTGTTGGAGGAAACCAGTTTCTATGCTTTTGCTAAACATATTTACCAATTGCACATTTATGATGCTCACATGAACAATGAGTCAGTGTTTCCATCAAAAGACAAATAGAAATTTCACGCAAGTGAAGCCTTTTATTTACATATAAGCAGTTCCTGTGTGATTCTGAAGAGCAGACCTGAGTGGCATTCATAGGTTCTGAGAAACCAAACAAAATCCCAAAGCTGGATTTGTGTTACCTGGAGATGAGAGGTGGTTGCATGACACAAACAACAACAAGATTACATTTGTATAGCCTTTCACGTCGAGAGAACAAACAGACTCTTACTAATGCATGATGTACTGAGGAAAGACAAGCCACGACACGTAAAGTAAGAGAGCATTGCTAACCTTTTGTCAAGGGCCACACTCTTGCTGCACGACCAAGATCCATGAAGGGATGAGTTGCAGTCTAGATCTGTGATTCCTCATCCAGTGAACTCCTGTGGGCAGTTGCCAAATGCACTGACTCACAATAAGCACAGGAGAAAAAACCTAAGGACCAAATTTATTAAGGCCTTGCTTCATGCCGACTTCCCCAACCATTGTATTCTCTCACTGGATATTGCAAAGAAGTGATTGCCAATTGAGTCAGTAATTCACACCCAGCAGCTCATGAACAGAGGCAAATGGAGCAGAAAGTGTATCGAGAGTCAGGGCTACAAATGAGTCTTTAGGCACATAATCAGTCCCATTTCTAAAAGTTATTGAGTGAATTGACTAAGATTTAATGATAGGAATCCAATGTCAAAGAGTTACAAACTAATCTGCCAAGAGTAGTGAACCACCTTGCTGGACTCAAACTACAGCAAATTGTAGTTAATAAAAAGCCTTTAGTTGTGAGAAAGACACAGGGAGGATAGGTGTTACTTTTACTAACTAGGGCACCAGAGGATCTCAAGCTATTTTTCCAACTAAAGGAATCATGAAATACATTCAAATTCATAAAATGCATTCACAACATCTCCAAACCGTGTGAAAAACAAAACGCACTATGATCATTTTTTTTTAATGCAGTTATTTTCTTCTGCAGATAATTTAGCAATGGTCAGCATATGTTGTGGAGTACGTGGGTGCAGTTTAAGGAAATGGGCTGGAATAGAAGGCAGCAGCTGTTGTTTTCATGCATGTAGTTCACTGAACTCTTCATGTGAGTGTGGAAAGGACAAAGAGAAAGTTGCCTCAGCTTACCATGTTATATTTTCACTTTACACCAATTTACTGTAACCGCAAATGGCAAAATATACAAGTCGATTAATTATTTGTTTTTGGGAAAGTGAAATGGGAACATGAAAGCCTCAAATATGTGCAGTTATTAACATTTAATGCAACATTGTTTTAATAATTACAACAAGACCTTCAGTTTAACAGGAAAAAAACACTCTACTATCCAGGTATTTGTGCCACATAATTAATCACAGACTATCACAAGATGAACATGTCAGAATCAGTATTAACATGTACAACTGTGGCGCTTGTTATATGGGTACTATCCCAGTCTATTGCAGGGGCACCAGTTCTCATTGTACCAGATGAAGAAAATTAAAACAACAACAAAATTACATTCATGTCAGCAGGACAGTTAGTGTTTTGGAGCTAAGCTGGGGGTAGGAATTGGGGAGGGCGGAGAGCAGGAGGGGAAGGAGGTTGATCAAAAGTATGGTTGAAGAGGAGGGTCTTGAGATGGGTCTTGAAGGTGGCAAGGGAGAGGGTGAGGCAGAAGGCCTGAGGGTGGTGGTGGGGGCAGAGTGGCAGAAGGCCCGCCCGCCAATGGTGGGGCTTGAGAGGCGGGGGACATGAATCAGGCTGGAGCATGCTGAGCGGAAGCAGCGAGCAGGATGATAGGGGGTAGGAGGTTGCAGAGATCGGGGGGGGATGAGGTCATGGAAGGCTTTGAAGGTGAGGACCAGAATCTTGAACTGTATCTTCTTTGTGATGGGAAACCAGTGGAGTCGGGTGAGGATGGGTATGATAGGGTCACGGATCCTGGTGCAGGAGAGGGCACTGGTTGCAGAGTTCTGGATGATCTGCAGCCTATGGCAAGAGGAATTGGGCTGGCCGACAAGCAATGAGTTTGCGTAGTCAGGCCTGCATGTTATGAATGCGTGCATGAGAGTTTGGCCGGCTGCGGTATGAGACAGTGGCGGAGCTGGGCGATATTGCGGAGATGAGGGAAGGCAGAGCGGGTCATGCCACGGATGTGGGGTAGAAACGATAGTTGAATGTCAAACAAGACGCCAAGCTTCCGGACTGGCTTAGTAAGGTGGAGTGTGCATCCATGGATGGTGATGTTGTCAGCGTCTGAGGTGTGGAGGCGCTGACTGGAGCCAATCTGGAGAGCCTCAGTCTTGTTGACGTCCAACTTAAAAAAGTTGGCTCTCATCCAGGACTTGATATCTGACAGACATTCTGTCAGCACAGCAGTGGTCCTGGAGTCGAGGGTGGAGGTAAAGAGAGAGTTCGGTGTCATCCGCATACATGTAGAAGTTGACCCTATGTCTGTAGATGATGTCAGCAAGAGGGAGCATATAGATATTGAAGAGGAGGGAAGCAAGGACAGAGCCCTGAGGAATGCCGCACGAGACGGTGCAGGGGCTAGAGGAGAAACCATTTGTGGAGATGAAGTGGAGGCGTTGTGAGAGGTACGATCTGAACCAGTCAAGGACAGAACAACAACAAAATTACATTTTAAAATTATAAATTATAAAATTAACAAAATTACAGAACCGTGAAGGTTGAGGTGAGAGGAGAGGCGGTGGATGAGGATAGAGTGGTCAATGGTGTTAAGGCAGCAGAAAGGTCAAGGAGGACGAGGAGGCAGAGGGAGCCCTGGTCGCAGATGGACAGAATGTCATTTGTCACTTTGACCAGGGCTGTTTCTGTGCTGTGGGTGACACAGAAACCTGATTGGAGGGGTTCGTGAAGAGAGTGGCTATTTATTATACACAAAATAGCTAGGAAAAGGATGTTTGTGAGGCCAGCCCCAAACCAACTGTAGTCGCTCACACTAAAGGTTTCTATTTGTGTGAACCAGCAGTTAGAGAGGAATAGCTAAAGCTAGACTGATAGTGGCACACTTCTCCTTTCATAGAATCGTACAGCACAAAAAGAGGCCATTCGGCCCATCGAATCTGTGCCGGCTCTTTGAAAAGAGCAATGTAATGTCACTCCCACTCCCCAGCTCTTTCCCCATAACCCTGCAAACCCGTCCTCCAACGCATATATCCATCCAACGCAAATATCCATCCAACGCATTTTTAAAAATTGTTATCGAATCGGCCTCCACCACCCTTTCAGGCATTTGGCTGAATGGGATTTGGGGAAAGGGTCAAGATTAGGTTTCTCCACTTACCTCTGATCTCAGATGAAGTACAGAATTGGACAAATTTCAGGGTAATTCAAAGGTTCTGTGTTAGTAAAACAATCCCAGAAAACATCCAAGCAAATGAAAAGAAGGTGGCAAAAGAATAAGGCAGAATTCAACATAGCTTTTCATATGCTGTTTGTAACATCAACAATCATTCATGCTCAACTGCAGGTGTTTGCATGGCTGGCTGTTTGTATTATATGTTAAATATGAGGTAGTTGAAGGTAGGTGTGTCCTGGAAAAAACTTTTGTTACACAGGCTCAGTTGTGGGCTAAAACCAGATCAATTTGAAATATAGAGTTTTATGGAGCACGTGTTTGGCAGTTCCTTCCAAAGTTCTTACAATAGATTTTTTCAAACTTTTTTTGTTGATGAGACAATTAAGCAATGGGATCTTTAAAAATATATATTTTTTAAAAAAGCACCTCAGGTATGCATGCCAAAATGCTGCTAAAATAGGTGTTTGGTTTTTAAGGTCTTGAGCGAGTTCCACATTGCTTGATTCCATTCTTATGACCACAACATTGTCCATTATTTTTGTACATGTTCTATGCCATCTGGTGGTCTATACATATACAAAAATGCATTCAGCTTTCATTGCAGCTGAATATATTTTTGTATATGTACAGCTGAAACCTTTCCAAAGCACCCTCCTTTTCAGTTAATACGCTAAACTGTTTTGGGGGAAGAAAAACACCAAAGATACAACCCATTAGTGAAACGAGATTTCTATCTTTAAAGTTTTAGGAACTGTAACCGGTTGAACAAAGCACAGTCTTCCAGCCACGGTGTGACATGAAGGTCACCTGCATGATTTGTGTCTTAAGACTGTTCCAGGTCAACTCTGGCCTAATGCCCAGTGTAAATGAAACACTGCCAATGATTTCCATGAAACACTTCACAGATCGCTCTCCGTCACACCTTAGCAGATGTGCACCCATATTTGAACAGGTGCTTTTTTTTATTACTGTGACTGCAAGCACACGTTTCTCAGAGCAACCTGTAAAATCAATAGAGTAAAATAATTTCAGATGCAGCCCCCATGTTGGGCTCAACGATGACCTAATGTTGTTCAAACAATGTGTTCAGATAACTGTGCTTACCTGAATCTGCTACCGATAGTCCTACTCTCATCAACTCTCTCCACAGAATTTCCGACTGAGGAACATTATTCTGATTAAACGTGCTTCAACAATACCTAATTTTCAACAGTCCAACAGCAATCTGTATGACTAATATGAACACAGAGACCGTTTTGCATTGATGTACTTTCTTTTAATAAGGTTCGCAAGATTCATTGAGAAATCAATTACCTTTGTCATATCACAACTATTGCAAGTTTCTGTCTTTTCAGTGACGCTACAGGATCTCTTTGTTGGCAAAGGATTTTCAATACAGATTCAGAACACTGTGGTAATGTCTACTGTAGAAATAACCAAATTCATTTACCTACAAAAGCAAAAAGATGTCTTGGTGCACTTACTTCTCTAAAAACATGATCTAGAAGTAGTTAATGAAAAACTTTTAAATAAGCTAATAAAAAAATTACAAAGGCTAACATAAAACATATGTGCAACTTTCTTTTTTCCGTGAGACCTAGAAAATAAGATTCACAAGTTGTATTTAAAATCGTTGAAAGTTTTTTTTGTTATTTTGGAGAATTTTTTTTAAGACTTTTCACGTGAAAGCAGATCCAAGGCAGCAAAGCAGCAGAGCACGTTGAGTCCGCGAATCAATGAAGGACTTAAATCGATTGTGACATTCAGTGCATAGCTTCTCTCCTAGCCATCTTCCACACTATCCTCCACACCATCCATCCTCCACACAGCCGTCTCATCTTCCCAGAGCCTTCCGAGTACTTTCCACATTCCCGAGTGCCAGATGCATTACGTTGTGCTGATCCTGCTCAATTCCTGTCTAATGGCTGTTAAACATTAAGAAGTTTGCGTTAATTGGGGAAGCCAATGATATTCACAGCTACTAACTATGGACCCGGAAGCTGACACCAACGTACACATGGACGAAGCTCGAAAAAGGGCAGGCACAAGGCAACTTTTTTTTCACAAAAAATAATAATAATAATCCTTGCATCTGATATAACGCCTTATCATGTCGTCGAGACGTCTCAAAGCGCTTCACAGAATATATTTTGTGGGCGAAACGGGGAAAAAGAAACAGTGATACAATTTCAAATTCTGGAAAAAAGTTAAAAGATACCATGGGTTCTACGTGGCCTGGTGTTGAAGCGTACATTACAACCCCCCCCCCCCCACCCTCTCATGCCAACGTGGCCTCAAAATGTTCACAATAAAACTCAATGTGGATTCAAGGAGTCACAGTGCTGCTTTGAAACGCAGAGAAAACCGAAAGCCCCACTGAGGGGCAGCATTGAGCAACAGCATGTTCAGAAAGCAATGGGACTGGGTGACAGGCTTTGGTGGTTCTTCATCTGGCTTCCAGGCGAAATCCACAAACATTCTTAGAAATAAAAAGTAGTCAAAGGCATTGGTGTGTTTTTTTTAAATGTAACCACAAAGCAACGGAATTTCAACCGCACTTCACTTCATAAACAATGGGAAGTCAGACCAATCTTGGTGTTAACAATACATAGTCGTGATAATCCTTGCGTTTGATACGGTGCCTCATCACGTCATCAAGGCACTTCAAAATGCTTCCGTAAAGTGGGGGTGATTGTGTATTTTGTGGACAAAACACCAATTTTGGCGGAACAAAGGGACAAAGATATGAGTTACAACAGCCCATGAAACTCCTTAAAGGGAGAGCTCATTAAATGGGGCCTTTTGCTGATATCTAAATACTGTTTAAAAATTACAGATGCCTCTTGTAAAGTACAATAGATTGCAGTTGACAAAATATTATGCTCACCATCAATAATCTCTTCCTTCACCTTGTGCAACTCTTTTACAACCTCCTCCAGTATCTCCTGCGAGTTTAGATGAGAGTTTAATATTTAAAATGTTTCATTAGAATTGGCCAGATTGTTCTAAAAACATAGTTAAGCATTTTTTTTGAAGGAGCAGAAAGGAATAGAATATAGAAAATATTTTACGTTAATACGGATGTTCTCATAAAATGACACCAATGGAAAAAAAAGTGACATAGCACTTACCTGCTTCAACCGATCAAAATCTAAGGCATCTGTGGCCACGTCATTACTGGTGCTGCTCACTGGTTTTGCTCTGCAGGGCGGGGAATAAAAAAACATAACAAACGGAAATTAAGCAAGTCTGTGCTTTATTGCCAGTTACTCATAGGCTTCATAGCTTCAGGACCCCATGGATTTGCTTTCCCGCAAGGAGTGTGCAATGCAGCTTTATGAACCAATCTTCCTGACTCAGGCAAATCTTTGCACTTAAACAGCATTGTTGAACCAGTCCTACATGGTTCAATGTCCAGTGATATTCCACAGCAGTGGCCGCTAGAGATCAATCTGAGAGCGAAGGAATAATAATTATAAACCTTGCATTTGATGTAGTGCCTTATCACGTCTTCGAGATGTTTCAAAGCACTTCACAGAATATACTTTAAAATGAATTGACTGTATGTTTTGTGGACGAGAGTGAAGGAATTCAACAGAGATGCTACAGATGGACATATTGTGGCCTCAGACACGTGATGACTCACAAAGCTCTGTATTACTTAATTACTTGGCTTGCGTTTCTATTGCTGAGGGCAGAATAAGCGAGGCAGAATATTTTGCAGCACACTGACTTGAAGTAAACCCTTCCTAAAGAAGAAATTTGTGGTGTTCCTCAACACATTCTTTCTTTTGATGAAGATAAGGAACGTAATAAGGAACACCGCCTATTTTGCCAAATTACTTTATTGAACTATTTTTTTCATAAGGGAATGAGTCTTGTAATAGGAGATAATAATATACAGATTTTTCCCCACATATAAATAGCGTATTGACAAACATTTGCATTGTCAGGGCAGCAGTGAGTTGCAGAAAGCTGTAAACAATGCAGGAGATGTCAATGCTTAGGGGCTGGACATACAGTCTGCAGTAGGCAAGAGAGTAGATAAGCTAAAAAAGAAGGGAAATGGTTTCTGCAGTTGATACCTAAGGGATGAAAAGGGCGACTGTACAACATTCTTAGCTTCAGGACTCTTCATCTGTGATACATTTCTAAAACAATGAGATGGAATTAAGACACAAGATAAAGTAAACACTCCGCTAACATTGAAATCTGTCTACAATGCTCTTAACTAATTCTTCCTATGAGCACTTGACTTACCCAGTACACAGCAGCTACTGAGTATCCCATATGAGAGAATAGCATGTGAGTACAGGTAAGGGTCAGTTGTAATACAGATTTTTACTCAACTACCCCAATCATGTACATTTCAGCTCCCCAAGCTCCACTCTACACTGCATGAACATGGCTTGGTATTTTTTTCCCAAAGTGTCAAACGCTATGGTGTTGTCACCTACTGTGCCAACACATTCCCTCCTAGAATAACTCCTGCTAGAATTCAAATGGCTCACATGGTACAACTCTGGATTTTCCCAAAATAGGAGACATGACTCGTTATTACAGGTCCAATACTTTGGTGAGTGTGTATTTTACACAAGTACAGAATACACACAATAACCAAAGTACTATATTGTACACTAAACCTGTTACTATGAAAGCATTATTAGATACTTCAATCAACTCCTAGTCCATATCTGCTCACCTTGAAACTGTTCCTGGCTTTTCAGCAGAGTTGGCTCGTTCCCATGGCTTCTTACCATCTGTTGAGAAATACTGACATGAATTTAACAGATTCATAGGCCAGCTGGAATGTATTCAAGTAAAAAATGCTTGTGGTACAATCTCATTAACCAAAGAATCTGAAGTTCTTTATGGTCTTAGCCAAAGATCATTGTCTTTAGATTTAATGTGGTGCAGAATGTTGGAAAATTCTTAAATTCAGTCTTAATTTGGAAGCTGTTTCTCCCCCAGTTCTTTGGAAGACAATTGTCTTAAACCATGGAATTTCAGGACACTGTTTGCTTGATATGAAGTTCTCAATTAAGGCAAACTAATAATAATAATAATCCTTGCGTTTGATATACCACCTCATTTCATTGCTGCAACATCTCCAAGAACTTCACTGAATATACTGTAAACATGGATTAACTGTATATTTTGTGAGCGAAATGCAGCAGCCAATTGCGCACAGCAGTATTCCACAAACAGTCGTGGATTGAGGCACCAAATTATTATAATTTTTTTGTGTTTGAAGGGATTATTACACCCGGAAAGTAATCAACCAACCGACTAATAACTGACTAAAATCTAATTAATATTTGTTCTGCTATCTTATTTTGGAGTTCTTGGTCCCTTACTGAATAATTCTTGTGAGGAACTGCTACAGCAGCAGATTGTTAGGACCTGCTCTTCACATTTTGCAAGACAGAGTTTACAAAACCATCCTTTCCTTTATCATGGTTCACTTTTGGGGTATTTCACGATTTAAGGTGTTGCCAAATTTGTACTGCATGGCCACATTGGGACGTTTTTCAGTCTACATCACATCCTATTGCAGACTCAGCCAACCATATCATGACACACAATAAATAAATCCCGTGTTTTCCATTCATGAAAATATCAAAGCAAAGAACAGTAGGCAGGATACAAGCCTGCTTTACAATGTCTCAGTGTTTCCGCAGACAGACAGCATCCAAAGAATGCATGGCTCTGACTTGGCTGTGTTAACCCAACATTGGAAAAAAATACAAAACGCGTGGCAAAAGTTCGGAAAGCAGAATAATGTCAGACGTAAATAGCGTCTCTTGGAATTCTGACTTTTTATTTTGCGAAATTTGAAGTCAACGCTGCAATTTCTCTGAAGTTGCAGTTAGTAAAGGAACTTTTGTGAATGCTGTATTTTCAATCTTAATGTCTTCTTTCCCAGGACCTTTCAAGTATAGCACTCTTGACCTCACTCAGTCCACTCTCAATTTTTAAAAAAAACTTTTTTTTATGGGTTTCTTTTCCAATTTTCATATACCCCCACCCCCTCCTCTCCTCGCTTAAAGATGTTAACCTTTGTTGGGTTATGAGGCACCAGCAAGATAGTAAAGAGGAACACAGAAAGGACACTGATTGCCTTCCAATAGCTCAACCAATTTACCAAGCCTAGAGAGTGAATGTCGATGGGCTATTCAACTGCAGGGAGAAACCACAGCAGAGCCTGAATCTTTCCTCATCAGACAACCACATGCTTAAGATTTATTGGATAGAGATTAGGAACAGGAACCATGGCTGCCTTCCCTAGCTCAGGGCCACTGAAGCCCAAACACACTATGTACGAAGTTCACAACTATACTAAAACAGCATGTACCTCTTGGCCTTCAAACTACCTGCACACACATACAAGGGGAACAGACTGTAGGATACTTACCTGTTGAATTCTGCAAACCAGGAGCTCGTGTCATAAGTGAGGGTGAAGTGCTTGTATCCTCCTGTTTAAAACAGTAATAACACAGGTTTATAACTTCTCTTGGAAATCACTGAGACAGTCTTCTATTGTTCTTTATTTTTAATCAATGCACACAGATAAAGATTCAGAACATTCTGTCGAGTATTGCACAGATATTGCGTCGTTTTACCCGACGTGAAAGGCGCTATACAAATGTAATCTTGTTGTTGTATGCAATTATTACCAAGGATATATGAACATTTTAGAATCTCATGCACTTTGACAAGTACTGTGTTACACTGGTTAAATAGTTAAATTTGAACTGGAAGCCATTACAAGCTTCAGAATGTCGTACAGAGCCTCTAAAAGCTGATTACACACATTCTGGCTTTCCTCCTCTTTCTTCTCACTTGGTTTATCCGTTTGCTGGGCAGCTTTCCTCCTGAAAACACAGGAACACAGAACACATCAGACTGGTCTGAAGTTAACAATAAAATTGGTTCACATCCATCCAAAGTAAAAGTTTTTTTTGTTGTGCTGATCAAAAGCAACAGCATCAAGTGTCCCAAAATCAGATGTACCAAAAGTTAGTGGATTCACGTTCAGAGGTAGGTGCAATTGATGTTGATGGGATGTTAAATTACTGCTCTCCTTTTAATAACCCAATGGTCCTCAATAACAACAATAACTACTTGGGTTTATAGAGTGCCCTTTACCCTGGGTAGGGTTCGGAGCCAACAATTGGATATATGGGTTTCACTTCTTTCAGTCATGATCCAAGATACTCCAATGCCAGCGCTCATCTAAGTCACCAGGAATGAAAAAAAACCTTTATCCTCAACCAGAAGGTTGCTCCAGGACTGGTGACATTTCTAATCTTGAAGCAACCTATCCATCCTCTCTGCGTGGAGAGGGAGCAAGATTGTGGCTTTACCTTTTGAGTCCCAATCCAGTAGGGGAAAAGCTGGTGCATCAGAACTCAAAGCAAGTCAACATTACCTTTAGTGATCCATGTGTGAGGTTCCCCGGTTGCTCAGTGGGTGAACGCTGTGGTGTGGCCCAGAGCTGTGCAGATTAGGAAGGTCCCAAGTTCAAGCCTTGGTCTGTGCTGAGTTAGCTGATGTCAGCCAGCATTGTGGTGGTGATGGTGATCTCTACAGTTAGCCTTAGTGTCCCCGGGCAGTTGGGAGGGGGAGTGAGGAAAGGCCAGATTTCACACTGTTGGTTGCTATTCACCACGATCTCTGTTAGAATTGCAAGTGCGAGGATACAATTTAATCTATTAGGTCTCACTTTGCTGTTTCGCTTGCTGATATCCACTGTTTGAGCTTACACTAGGGCAAGGTATTGGGGAGATAACGGTAGATCTTTTCCCCAATGTACAGCCAGTGCCGACAGGGTAGATGGAATAAGTTAACAATACTGGAGGGAAAAAATTGTCAATGAGAGATCTGAAACAAATTGGATATACGCGCCTTCTGTTTATGAACCTGATTAGAAGATAGACCACACTATGTAGCACACATAGTGGATGCCGTGTTGCTGCACCATCTGTGTTCATACCTATTTTTAAATTAGCGTCTAGTCTGCAGCACATAGGCTCAGCACGTACCGTCTTGCTAGCAGTTTATTCATCTCGTCCATCAGCCCTCCTCCTCCCCCGCCTCCACCACTGTTACGATTGGCTTCAGTTTTTGAAGCTCCACCAGGACTGGAACCGCCTGAGCCTTCATCGGGCTGCAGAGGAATTCAAAATAGAATCAATGACATGTTTTTCGACGAACCATTTGACACAGTCATCTTTTGGATGAGGCGATAGACCGAGGTCCCGCCTGTCTGTTTAAGTGGATGTTAATGATCCGATGGCACTATTCGAAACGAGAAGAGTTTTTCTCAATCAGGTGTCCTGGCCAACAATCCCAGAATCCAGATTACATTGTAACCATGTACTTTGCAGGCGAAACGCCCACCAAATACACCCGTTTTATAACTTAAATAGAATTTCCGACAGCAATTATAATCGCATTAGATCATGCGATTTCCTAACAGCTGTGAATAATAACAATAATAATCCTTGGATTTGATTTAGAGCCTTATCGCGTCGTCTCAGAGCGCTTCACAGAATATACTGTAAAGTGTAGTGACTGTGTATTTTGTATAAGGGGTGAGATGCCTACCTTGCTAACTTTCCTCAGTTTGGCTCCAGCGATTGCGGCTGCCAGTCCTGCTCCCGAGGCTGAATCTCCAGCACTGGTTCCAGAGCCTCCGCTGGGGGGCAGCGGAGGAGGGGGAGGAGGAGGAGGAGGTGCTCCTGCAGATGCCGGCGGAGGTGGGGGTGGAGGAGGTGGGGGTCCGCTAGCAGCAGGAGGTTGTGGGGTGCAGACGGGCCCCGTGGGTGGTCCTCCAGGAGGAACGGGTGGCCCTGAAATAAAAACAAAGCAGCTCAATCCAGCACGTGGGAAGCCAGACTCAAACACTGCCAACATTTTGCACCAAACAGTAACAGTAACAAGTTTAACTTGAGCAACGATTCGCAACAAACGTTAATGTTTCCGTACACTTTCATGTGTGCATATGATGAGGTTGATAATTTACTCAAGGCACGGTTAGACATTCAGCACAAATTATGCATCGAATGAAGGTTGTGCTATTTATTGTCCCTGATAAGAAAGGATCTTGGCTTGACCATTTTGCTTTCTATTGGCAAAAGTGATTGTGTACATTTCCTACAATAAGGGCAATTTTAAAGGGCTAACACAATAGACTTGCTATGCTTCTGAGGATTTTTCACTGAAATAGGAATGAAGAAGAAAATAATTTGCATTTCACAGTGCTTATAACAACAACAAATTGTATTTATATAGCGCCTCTAACATTGGGAGGATGTACCAAGGCGTTGGTGCTATAACCTTGTTGCATCTCAAAACCCTTTGCAGTAATTACTGTCACATGCAGTGACTGTTATTCCTGGCAATCTTTTGTAGACAGCAAGTTCCTACAAACAGCTATGACTAGTTAATCTGGAGGATTGCTGGCCAAGCTGTCAGGAGAAATTCCTTCCCTTTTCGAATAATCCTGTGCAATCTTTAACATCCATTCGAGGGACAGGCAGACAGGATTTTGGTTTAACATCTCATTTGATGCTGACACCTCTGACAGTGTGAGCTCCCCAGTAACTGCACCGGTTTGTCAGCCGAGATTAAATGCTTAAAGACAGTCACTTGAATGGTGGAAGTACTAAAGGGTATTGTGAAAGGACAGAAAGTTGGAATTAAACAATCTGTCCAGATCTAAAAACTGGTGGAGCGGGCTCGATGGTTGGAAAACCTCCTCCTGTTCTTATCTCCCTATATTCCTAAATAAGGAAAAAAAACATGAACAGGTGTGGTCCAAAGCAAGCACCTACTGACCCAGTCAGTGTTAGTTAATTTATAAACAAATGTTTGCTTACTTGCATTTGCAATGGACTTCACGACACGTTTCATACCTTCCTCTAAATAGGAGATAGATTGTGGAACATATTGCCCTGAGTAACACCCCCAAACCCTGAAGATAAAGCTTATCTATAGAGAGGACCTCCGTTAAACTAGTCATTTAAAATGTTGTACATTAATGGGAACAGGCAGCTAAGGATGAAAGAAATGTTTGCACATTCAAACCAAGCAGAGAAACAAAGGAAAGCTAAAGCGAGAGATGCAATTAGGCAAAGTGCACACAAATGCCACATGATGCCAGAAAGGCATCACTTACCCGGCTGGGTAATGGGAGTTGAGGTGACTGATGTCATGGGAGGAGGGCTCTTCTTGGACGCTGCTGCCTCAGAGAAAGCAGCGTAAGATGTAGGAGATGTCATGAAGTGTGTGGTGGACTTGTACAAATGCTGTGCAGGGAGCGGGGGTAGAGGTGACGGTTGAGGTTGGGTTTGGGGACTGGGAGGACGACTTAAGTGAGATACGGGTGCAGTTTCTAAACAGGACATGAAGGATCCCTCTGTGCTCTTTACTGGAGGCTTGGAGGAGGTCACGGGAGCAGTTGCCTGAACCTGATCTTCATTGTGGCCATTCAGGTTTACGTCGGTTGGAGCTACCTGGGCCATTCGATCCATCGATCCCCTAATCCTGCCATAAGGCGTGCGAATCGGTGGAACAGCTACTGGTGTGATGGGCTGAGGCCCGACAGTTCTCTGGGGTAGGGAGGTGATCATGACCGGAGGAGAAGGAGGAAGGGGAGAAAACGTAGCAGATGAACGGCAGGAGGGCTTAGGAAGGGGACGCGGAGGTTGGGCAGCAGCAGGAGGTGGGGACAACGCCACCTGCTTGATGCTTCGACTCGTGGTCCCAGAGTTAGGCTGCACAGGAGAGAAAGCAGAACTTAGGGAGGCAGATAACTGCGAGGCACTGGGCCTGAGAGGTGGGGAGTCAGAGAATGCGGTGTTGGATGGGAAGTAGCTGAGGCTATCGGCATCCACTGGCTCAGAGGAAGAGGAGGTGGAATCGCAGGATGTGGCTCTGGCATATGAAGGAGGAGGTGCTGGCCCTGCAGATGAGGAAGTGCTGTAGCTACTGTACTCGGGTGGTGGGGACAGGCTGTGAGAGGGGGACGGAGCAACTTTGATCTGAAGGGTAGAAACTATGCGATAGAACAAAAGAAAACAGAAGAGAAGAAAGAGTAAGTGGAACATGTTGCAAGGGCAAAAGGGAAAAAGCATGGCAATAGTTAAAAGCAAATGACCGAATGCTGTAGAGGCTAGAAATCATACGGACTGAAAGGGTGAATATTTACAACATTTTTACCCTTTTCTCGAATTTAAAGCATTTATTTTTTCATTTAAAATCATCGTGAAAACACAACACTTTGTCTGTGAATCCATTCAGAATAGGGAGAACTTGTTTCTCCCTCATATATTAGCGTGCACTAAAGAATGTCTGATGCTTTTTGGCCTCATGGTTATGAGAGTGTAGCAGTTCCGATGGTATTATAATAATAATAATAATTGCATTGATGTAGCACCTTATCACGTCGTCGAGATGTCTCAAAGCACTTCACAGGATATACTGTGAAGTGGAATGATTGTGTATTTTGTGGGCAGCCATTGGCGCTCAGCAATGTCCCACAAACAGCCATGAACCGAATGACTGAGTTAATTTTGGGGGGATTGTTGGCCAGGACACCGGGAGAAACTCATTTTTGTTTTCGAATAGAACCATGGGATCTTTAACATCCACCTGGATTGGCAAACGGGACCTTGGTTTAACGTCTCATCTGAAGGACAGTGCCTCTAACGATGCTTTAGGTGATGCTGGATGTAGGCACTCCTACACTCACAGGTCAACTTGAGACCAACAAAATGCCTCAGGCAAAAGATGAACACATATGGAACCTGTAACTTCATCATGAACAGTCATGTTCAGATATGACTGTAGCACAAGCAAAGCAGATCTTTATAGATCTGGAAAATAAAACCGCCATATAATAATACAGCTAAATCCTGATACGCACAGAAACAATTTTCTTGGGAATGTTATGCATGCTTCAGGATGATGCTTTGATTTTTATGCGTGAGTGTGTGTGTCTCTATGTGTGTGTGCATGTGTTTGTGTGTAAGTGTGTGTGAGTTTGTGTCTATACTGTACATATATATGTACCTGTGTACAGCTCTATAAAGAGGTGTATTTGACGTTGGCCAAATATATAAAGTCCAGATTAACAGCCTGTGCAAACCTGCAGTTAAAAAAAAACGCACCAGATGTAGAAATTCGGCGTTCTCGCTCCATCTGCTCCTGTCGTTGCTGTTCCATTAGTTGCCTAAAGATTTTTAAAATAAAAAATTCAGTGGAATGTTTTAATTTACTGTTTGCACAATCCGTCAAATTAAAGTTTGTTTAACAAAAATGAATTTAGGCTATGATCCATCATTGTTAATAGTCAAGAAGTGCAAATGTGAAAATACATTAGTCAGGAGTACAGCTAGTCACCCACCGCTAACACTGAAATTAGCATTTAGCCGTTCCAGACAGAAATCAGATTTTACAATTGTCATTTGCAAAAACGCTTAGGAATAAATAGTTTCTTGTGCAAAATTATGAGAAGATTATGGTAAAAAAACACACAATGGTTCAATGCTGAAATAACTCTTCTATATTAGGCCCTTCAGTTCTTCATGCTTAGCATTGTAAGGAATTTTTTTTTTGGTCAGCTGGGTGTCTGACACATGCGGAAACCCATCACCGTACTTAAGTCTCAAAACCAAACTGAGAATTCCATGAATTGTTAGGAGTTTGCTCTGACTGTACATGGGCAGGAGGAAACATCAGGAACTCAGCACTTACTTGAAGCACTTTAACTCCTTTGGAGAGCTTAGGTTCTGGGCAAGGAGAGATGTTTAGTTGGAAAGCTAAACTGAGCTCTCCGATACATCCACTGAAACCCAGGCTCTCCAATAAATACCACAACAGCTTCTTATTTATAATCCATCAGCAAGAAAGCTAATGTGTCATTAAAAAAACAAACACATTTTAAGAACAATTCATTTCCGAGATAGATTTCTGTTTAGAAACAATATCTCAGGATATAATATATAGGTTGGGACACGACTTGTCAAGCGACTGCCAGGATGGTGTAAGGAGAACTGGATGGACCTTGGTCTTCTTTCGCAAATTCTTAATGTTCTTATGAAATATTTATTTGTTATTATCAAGGAACAGTTTGGATACTCCTAACACTGACCTTCAGGCTTTACTCTGGTTCCCAGCTGTGAGAATAAAGCACAGAGATCAGCATTTTTGAAGAGCACACATCATATGCTTCCAGATGAGTGCTCTTTATCGTAACAGTTGCTGGACTAAAGTTCATGATTTGAGGTGGGAGTCGAACAACCGGCAAATTTGCTGATGAAATCCAAAATTATTTACTGGATTTGCAATATAATTTTCTCAACCCGGAGGGCTATCTCACAGCTCCCTCCTTTGAACAAGGTAGTGAAAGAAATGAAGTAGAGCAGCTTTAGCAACTGTCCTTTATATGCCAGACAAGATCAGCACAGAGCCTAATATTAGAACTCTCACTACTAATCTCTGCTAGGAATGCAGCAGAGGGGTCACAGAGAGCCTCATCGTGCTGCTCCCATAATCTATCACCTGTTTTTTTTAAAGATGTTATCTCTCGTAGTCACGTGGGGGATCATCAGCTGCCTAATCGTGCCATAAATGTCAAACAGGCGTTTTTTATTTTAAAACTGGGAGTATCAGATAACAATAAACTGGCACAAACTTTAGTCGGAGAGGTAGGGAGGCACCTCCCTACCTTTCTGACCTACTTAATCCCCAACCCACTGCCTCCGCTCGACTGGCGTGCCCCTCGTTCCCTCTGTTCCACCATCGGCGGCCACACTTTCAGCCACTATGCCCCGAAACACTGAGACACTCTTCCTCTTTCCTTCCGCGTTGCCCCTTCCTTCCCCATCTTTAGATCGCGCCTGAAGATCTTCCTCTTCAACAATGCCTAAGGACACCTCCCCCTTCCCCTCTCCCCGACTCAGAGTCTCTGGGGATGCTGCCCTGTGTGAGGGCCATTATGTAAATGCAAGTTGTTGTTGTAGTCTTGAGTAATCACGGCTTTAGTTTGATAATCGTCCTTGAATTGGTGCAATGCCAACGAGAGATAACATCTTTAAAAACAGATGATGGATTCTGGGAGCTACACCCTGAGGTTCCTGGGCTGCTGCAATCCTATTTCTACTTTAAAGTGACCTTAGGCAGGCACACTGCAGTATCCAAGGCATCTTTTTCCAAGAGTGGAAAGAGTTGGTATCTGTGAAGAAATCTTTCAGCGTTGCCTTTGTTTATTTTCAGTGAGACATTCGAAAGTGATCAAATACGTGAAGAATCACGGCATTTTATACCTCGATGGATGGAATCAGTTTGGCAATTTCTGCACCTTTAATTTTTCCAATTTGAATTGTTTCTATTTATTACCTTCTCTGCATCTCCTGATCTTCTGGGGGCGGCCCATTCTGTACCTGGCGTTGCACTGTTGGACCTGCAAGAGCAGTTCAGGGAAGCAATGTTAACTTTTACGTCTGCATTTTGGACAATGACTCCGAGCACTGGTAGCAGCAAAACAGCAATGACATTGATCATAAAATAGGATTGCAATTCCGTTTATTTAATTCTGTCATGAAATGCCATGCCTTAAGAACAGTTTTCGGTTTGGCTCAATCTCAAATTACATTTGGTACCATTTCCAGCTAAACAGATCCATAAACACAGTGGCAGTGCTTGAAACCGCCACTCTTCCATGAGAACAAGACCAGTTCATTTTAATAACTGATCAATAACATGACTTGTTTTAAGAATCAACTCCAACCTTGGAGGAGTGAAAATTATTGGGCTGTAAAGGTCAGGGCATATTTATCGCATATAATGCAATCATGATATTTGTTGCAGGAAAGAACCTCAACCCTTCTAACTGCCACTAATCCTTTTTGTACTGTAGTCAGGCAGGTCGGTGACTGTGGAGTAATCATATATCAAACATTGAAATGTTTGGTTGTTGTGTTAAATGGTGGATCTGGTGCTAACATCATTTGTGGAGTCCTGTAGCTCAGTGGTTAGAGCACTCGCCTCGCAAGCGAGAAACCTGGGTTCTATTCCTTATTCCACACACCTCTGTTTGCCTGGCAGTAAGTAGGAATCTGGTTGTTAGTCGATTGGCAGATCGCTTTTCCGGGGATAATAATAATAAAAAAAAGCATAATTTGGTCACTCAATCCAGGACTGTTTGTGGGACACTGCTGTGCGCAATCGGCTGCCATGTTTCTCCTACAAATATACAGTTAATTCACTTTGCAGTGTATTCTGTGAAGCGCTTTGAGACGTCTGGAAGATGTGAATATCAAATAATAATAATAATAATAATCCTTGCATTTGATATAGTGCTTTTCACGTTGGGAGGACGTCCCAAAGCCCCTCACAGAACACACTGTAAAGTGAATTGACTGTATATTTGTGGGCGAACGCGGCAGCCAATTGCGCACAGCGATGTCCCACAAACAGTCGTAGATTGAAAATGACCAATTTATTATTGTTTTTGATTTTTGGAGGGATTATTATTAGGCTCTGTGTGGAGTAAGGAAACTTGCCCAAGGTTTCGCCCTGACCTGCCTGGAATTGAACTCAGGTCTCCCGCTTGCAAAGCGAGTGCTCAAACCACTGAGCTACAGGACTCCAAATGCAAGGATTATTATTATTATCACTGTAAATGACACCGTTTCTGAAGGTGGTGCCGATTGTCAAGCTTTCCTTACATAAATGGAATCACTGACTCGTTGGCTGATAAATGAACAACTCCACACTTGGTTTTATGTTCTGTAATCACTTCTGCAACAGTACGTGGGCAGAGAAATATCAAATTGCAGAAAATGGAGAAAAAGAAAACATGTGAACGGCTGTTCACAGGCCTCAACTCAACCTTTAAGACATTGGACTCAGCTGTGTTCTAGGTATACTGTATTTTTGTGAAATCAACAATGTAATATTACAGAGCCTTGGTTGTAGTAAATCCTGACATATAATAAAATACCATCTGTAAAGAACCTTGTGCACTAAAGCAACAAGGCCCATGTTGGGAATGAGCATCTTCCCATGCTGGGTCTTCAACTCTGTCCTGTAGCAGATGTTTAAACAACAACAACAAACAACAATCCTCGCATTTGATATAGCGCCTTATCACGTCTTCCGTAAACTGTAGTGACTGTGTGTCTTGATGGGTTGTAAGTTCACAACCTGGTGCAGCACAAGTTTGCACGTCTCCCCAAGTCACTGGACGGGTTGCTTTACAGAAGCAGCTTTCCTTTGTGTGAGGTAAAGCAGGTTATTCACCTTCAGGCAAAGTGAACCTATTATACCATTTGCCATGAACAGCACCTCTCATTCTGGGAGTGACAGGGGGGAAGGAGCTGTCTGCCTGATTACTGTCTGCTTCAGGAAATGAGGACAAGGGGGGAGAAAAATAACTATAAAGAATAAGAAGAGAGGAAAGATGTCGGTCAGTTTCATGTCAGATATCTTCATCTAATTGACTTTGTGGAGTCCTGTAGCTCACAAATATACAGTCAATTCACTTTACAGTGTGTTCTGTGAAGCGCTTTGGGACATCCTCCCGACGTGAAAAGTGCTATATCAAATGCAAGGATTATTATTATTATATTATTTATTAAGTATATGTATTAAATATTAAGAGTCATTTATTTCTGTAAGGGTACCAAAAACTTAAGTCATGCTTGACAGTACAAACACTATCTATTTACATATAACACTATGCTTGCATGCCAATAATACTGTACAAACGCAATGCTTCACATTTGCATTTTTTTTCAGTCTTGAACTACAGGAGTGTAACAAAATTCACAGCTTGGATACCAAAAGGCATCTGCACAGAACCAAAGCTTTGGTCAAAATAATTGAGCAGAGTAAGGAAAACATTAAATAATAATAATAATAATCCTTCCATTTGATACAGCGCCTTATCACGTTTTCGAGACGTCTCAAAGTGCTTCACAGAATATATGTAAAGTGAATTAACTGTATATTTTATGGGCGAAACGGGGTAGCCAATTGCACACAACAGTGTCCCACAAACAGTCGTGGATTGAGTGACCAAACTATTATTTTTAAAAGATTGTTTTTTTTAAAAGGGATTATTACCCCGGAAAAGCGATTTGCCAATGATAAGAAGAAATTGAGAACAGGGCTTTCTTAATTAAATGGTCTTCCTCTGAATGAATCCTGTTGTGTAAGATTATGGCCTCATGCCTCTAAAACAACAACAAATAATGATAATCCTTGCAATTAGATATTGCGCCCTATCACGTTGTTGGGACATCTCAAAATGCTTCATAAAATGTTACTGTTTATTGAATGCATATTTTTGTCGGCAAACTTAAGACACCGAATAAACAATTTCACAATTAAAGTAGCAAGTAGTCCTCTGTTCTTGTCCTACAGATTTCTGGAGTCCCCACTGAGGAAATAATTTTGGCTCAATTACAATTCCTTCGTCCAGGAAAACCTTCCTGTTCCACTGCATACAGGCTAATTAGTCTCAATGACAGTAGGCATGCATGATAATAAAAAATAACTTTTTGTCTCGCTGTGGATTGCTTGGATTTGTGCCTCAAACTTCTTTAGAATTCCACCAAATATTCTTCATTAATTCAAAGGTAAACAACCAATTGGCGGGTGCAGGACAATATAGGACAGAACTTGAGAACTCTACAACCCGTATCCTCTCCCACTTCGATATGTGAGCACATTACTCCCATCCTCAACTGGTTCCAAACACCCCACCAGATAACTTCAAGATCATCGTCCTTACCTTCCAGTGCGTCTGCAAGGCATTTGCCAACAAAATACAGTCACTACACATTACTAGAATATCTCCCGTGAAGAGCTCCGAGACATCCTCCCAATGCGAATGAACGCCACATCAAATGTAAAGATTATTTATAGTTTATTCTTAAGACCTCGCCACACCCGATCTTTGTCATCTATTGACACCTCTGCCTATGCATCGCTCCCCAACTACTGCACTGGAATGTCAGCCTAGATTGTGAGCCCAACATGGGGTATGTGTGTCATGTACTTACCATGAGAATACCATTCAATACTATACTGATCTAAGAAGTAATAGCAACAGTGCATCAAAATTATTTGATAGAAGTCATAAATAAAATTTTACAATCTTTTCCAGAGTTACCTTAGCTGTGAAATACCAGCAACATCTGTTTTGAGGTTATGCAAGATCATTTTCTCTTCAATGCCCTTGCAGAAATCCACAGCATCAACACTGAAATGTGCAATAATCCATCTAAACCACTTCAGTGTCAAGTGGGATATTTACAACAAACTCTAAGGCAGCACTGGGAGGTGCCCACACCAATGTGCTTAGACAACAGAGAATTGTGCCCTGGATGGTTTAAGTCCTTGTTTTCCGTGAGGATAATTAAAGATCAGAAAGCCTCTCTGTTGACCGAGGGAGTAAAGGGGTGGGAAGCATCCTGATCATCCAATGCATCATAATTAGGAACCTGGTTGTTAGTTGACTGGCGTATTGCTTTTCTGGGGGTAATAATTCCTTCCAAAAAAATAAAAAGAATAGATTGTTCACTCAATCCACGACTGTTTGTGGGATGCTGCTGTGCGCAATTGGCTGCCGCGTTTCGCCCACAAAACATACAGTCAATTCACTTTACAGTATATTCTGTGATGCGCTTTGAGACGTCTCAAAGACTTGATAAGGCACTGTATCAAATGCAAGGATTATTATTATTATTATTATCATAGTCAGGCTGGGATCATTTTAATACTTCAATAAGAATTATAAAGTAAATAGCTGTGTTCTGCAAAACAGGTTGACTTACCTGATAAACCATTGGAACCCATTTTGTCTTAAGTGCACCTTCACTGCTGTCTACCCTTCTGTGGAAAGATATGCTAGTCTCCACCTATTTTTTGTAGCAGTCATTGGATCTAAATATATTTGCACGCTGTGAGGTGTTATTATGGACACAACTGGGCCACTGCTGAAAGGACTAGAATAGTAGTTTGGTTTAAGTCAGCGTATTATAATTGTGTCACAGCTCTAAAACAACAGGAAGTAGTGACAGTTGTTGAACCCCCACCATAACCTTAAACATACCTTTTCTTCTTCAAAACCTAATGTCACTCCTGAAGGAGAGTAAATCCTATTTTTCTCAACTAAAACTTTTGAAGAAGACGGAAAAACTAATGAACGAACCTTCAGACTCAGGACCATGCTGGCTCCAGGCACTCACCTGACTAACGCACAGCACACTATTATTTCTAGCATTTCCCCCAATTTCTTTCACCCCATCTACAGTAAGAGCTTTGCATTAAAACAATGAGCCAGATAAGTGACTGGACTGAAATCAAATGTACTTTTCACTGCATTTGGTAGCGCACCAATTATTGGAAGTAGATACTCAAATAGTAACTATTTGATGACAAACCACAAGTAAA